CTAATGTTAAGGAGGGGGCTGTGGGAAGTTGTTTACTCTACAGTAATTAACCCTGTCTGTACTGTGCTGGAAGATCTTATCAGTTGTAACCTAGACCTGTCTATTCTAAGAAAAGGTTAGACTTAGGAGCATTGGATATTAAAAAAAGAAAGTTCAGTCTGTCCCTCAGTTTGTCCACCTACTTCAACTTTCAAACTGCTCAGAGTGGCCCTGAAATCTGCACAAAGGCCTTCCTCAATGAAACCTTTAAAAGGTAAGAAATATTTTTATATATGCTATGTGATTAGGAACACATAACAAACATATTTTTGGGGTTTTCTCAAATTTGACAGCAAAAGTGGAAATACGAGATAAAAGATAAATTTGTCAGCATATGCTTAGACACAACAACATATTTACATGTTGCCTATGAGATAAAAAGCTTCCCCTTTTGAGTAAGTAAACTTTATCATTACCCTTTGAAAGCCACAAAACCTTTGTGATTGGAGAAAATCAAGGACAATCTCTCTGGTTGCCCTACTCTCCTCCTTTGCAAAACATACCTTCAATTTCTTAAATAGACATCTGAAATATTTTACTGTCAGTGTTAGAAATATCTGTACCACTATAGTTTTAATCACAAGCTATTTTTAAAGATTGTTCTTTTTTAAAATATGTTTGTTAAGAGGTTGCAATACAGTATGATATCTGATCATTTGCTCATGGGTTAGTATATAGTAACACTTTCCCATGCATTCCTTGCACTAGGCCATGTGACCTATGATGTAGCATGACTCACCCTGAAGAAGCACGCCAAATTGTTATTCCACTCACAACTGACCCCTTCGCACACTCTATTCTGTACTGGAAATAAAGTATAAGGAAGCTCTTTCCATTTGGACAGTGTCTTTATTGCTGAATTGTGGCCAAAGAGCCAAATACAATAATTAAACACCTATAAAGTAGCTGTTTAACCTACTAAAGGGTAAAGTAAGGTCCATGTAGTTTTGGGATTACCACAGCTCTGCTACACAGCACAGCCCTTTGTGGCAGGGGTGGAGACAAGGGCAGCAACTAATGATAATTTTTATAATCGATTATTTGGATGATTATTAATCGGATTAAAAATATAAAAATGTTTAGTCTATTTAATTAAATGTTTATTTAATGCACATATCAGATTTATTTTTTTTACATACAGTAGCTGTCATCCCAGGCATACGTCACAGAAAGAACCCCTCTCAAACATTTTTGTCTGGGGTAATCCAATTGGCTGCATGCTTGAATCCGTGCCGTGACATGCGGATTCATGCATGTGAGCCGATTGGCTAGAGATTACATTTTTCATCTCGCCGATGAGCGAATGGTCAGTCCGCACTCTGTTAGGCGTTCGTTGTGACTCCTCAATACTTTTCTCCGGGGCGGCCAGAGCGGTTAATAACACACTAGCGAGTGAAGTGGTGAGCAGGGAGGGGGGAGGGTGTGAGGAGCTGTAAGCAGCCCAACTATTTTCATTATTGATTAGTTGTTTCAGCCCTACTGGAGACCAGAGGTTTTCTCTGCTGCAGTTAAGTAGCATTTACAGATCTTGCTACCCCCCTGACCTTTCTGGATAGCAAAAGGTCAAGTGACAGAGAGATTAGACTGTTAAACTAATCTCTCTATCACTTTGCTTTAGTCTCCTATCAGCATGCTCCTTGTCAGCACATTAGCACTGCAACACAACTGAGTGGCTACTTCGGCTGCTTCTACCTCTTCCAGTCTGAGCTCTGCTGAACATAGGTTTGCAAAAGGAAGATACTCACATTCATTTACTTACACTACTTGCATTTAAAAATAGATGCAATGACATAATAATGAATACAGAGCTGCATTAAATATTCTCTTTTATATCTGTCTGATGTTTGGCAGGCTATATCATATGGCAGATCTCTTTTACATCAGAGCAGCAATAAAAACAAGTTTGGATTGGGGGGTACAAACTCTGTGGATCAGTTTGCAGGTTGTAAATTAATAGTACAAGTCAAGTCTACAGAAACAGGTTTTAGTCTGGTATTCAGAGCAATGCATGTGTCTAGACTTATTTCTAGAGTTCCGTTGTGTTCCAAGATTGTCTAAGTAGGGCAAAGTTACTGGCTCAGCAGTTGAAGTAATAAAAAAAAAATGTTGGTAATTATGCAATGGTCAGAATGAATGTATAGGCCAATATGATATATGCTTTACAGCCACTGTTAAGAAAGAAGAACCATTTGGATTAGGAATGTATTGCTGATTAAAGGAGAATTATGGGGAGAGCGAATTACACTCATCCCCGTAATTAGAGCCGAAGTGCGATACTGAAACTGTCGCACGTCGGCTCTATTGATTGGGAATTGAGCGATAGCGTACAACCGCTCCCTCACTTTCCGATTATCTCCCTGCAGAGAGCGGTGACCGTCAGTCACCGCTACCCGCAGGAATTCCCCTCTCCGATCCTCCAGCGCTGACTGAAGGGACAGATGGTAGATGGGGCGGGCACAGCTGGCTATAGCCTGCTATATGCTGAGTTTTGGGTCACAGGGGGACATTAGTATATGTTCTCCTGTGACCCTAAAGAGAACTATGGCAAAAAAAATGTTAGGCCATAGTTCTTTTAATTCTTTCTTCCTCACAGGTTTATAAAGTAGTGTCTGTATCTGAAGTTAGACAGGCGATTATGCCACTAGAGACAAATCACCAGCAGCAGGATTGCTAGGGGCAGCCTAAGTGTGATGGATGCCAGCTTTTTGAAATGAACCAGCAGTATTAAGCCAAAAACAATGAACATGTGGTCAGCATTGTCACAAATTACCAGCAGAAAGTGCCAGAGTATTTGCTCACCCACTGCACCTCTACAGATAATGTTCTTAGTCATAATAACAGCTTTTGAAGGCTCACAATATCACCAGGATTTGCCACATCTGCACAACACAGTTCATGGTAAAATGTCTGCTTTCTCCCCTTTTTCTATAGAAAAGGGAACAATGATCTTTTACTTTCACATTATGTTCTATGTGGCTGATTGTCTCAAACAATATTCTCATCCATTGTATTGCAGTTTATGCTCACCATAAGGCTCCATTCACACAGGAGCGGTTGTCCGCACGTATTCGGCCATACAAATACATGTGGAACCACTCTAAACATAAAAAACAATGCACTTTAATGTGCATCGTTCAGCCTTTTGCTGCAAAATAGTACAAGTACGATTTTTTGCCGGATTCTGCACGTTCGCGGCTATAGTAATAGCTGAAAACGAGCGGAATCCGCGCAGTTGTTAAGATTTTAGCAAATCTTTCCGGAAGGAAGACTGCGCAGGAAACGCAAACGCTAAATATGGATGGAGCCTAAGACCTGGTCTTAGAAAAAGGCGGTGTTTTGGCTTTGTATGTCTTAACCATCATAACAAGTAAAAATCATGCGCGCATAGCAAATTTGTGACGAAATGTCCTCATACTCTCAATCCCCTACTTCACTTGCTAGTGCATCTTTGCATCGTTTCCTAGATGACGCTTAGCATACTTCTAGATAGACAAAGGTTTTACCAAGAATAACAGGACATGACACATCTGTCCTCAAATTCGCTGATATGTACGTTGCAATTCTGCCAGAAAACAGATGTGGCACAGATGCAGATGGCACCTTCAAGGATCAGGCCCTGTCCTCACTCTGACCTTCCAAAACATTGGAAGATCTCAGCACAAGTAAATCTGAGAGTAAGAAGTGCTAGGATATTGTCTTTACAAGAAAGGTCTACATGGACTGATCCCTGTCCCAAGACATGCATTGATTAGATTGCTTCCAAGGATTTGTTTTGATATCTCTAATCAGAAACTGATACATCCAGACTGCTGAATATATTAGTAATATCAAAGAAATAAAACTACCAGCGTAGATTTTAACTGTTCCAAAAGCTTTTTTTTTTAAAGTTTTTAATTACAGTAGGGAGGTTTTATTGCTGTATTTTATCTCTGTTGGGAAGAATCACCCTCTTTATCTTTCCTGGAGACCATTGACCATTGTGAGGGAAACAACTGCATAATACCACCAGATTATCAGCCATTCAAAGGCATGCAAAAGTCCTAAACTATTCTTCAGTTGGCTCTACACTGAGTAAATTTTTGCCATTTCTTGATGAAGAGGACTAAATTTGCTCAGTGTGGCTTTGTCTGCTGCCTCCTGTCCAGCATCCTTCAGTAGACAATTGTTAGCTGAACAGATCCTGAATCCAAGCAGATGCAGGCACTGTTCAGATAATTTGACAGCTTGCTGAGCAGACTAAGTACAATAGCTGCAGCGGGAGATTTAGTAGATTGTTTTTCATCCGGCCTAGGTATATGGCCAGCCTTAGTTCTAACTTTTAAAAAAATCATAGCTGCAGGACATCTCAGGCTGCACCCACCAGCCATGGGTGCCAGGCCAACAATGGAACCCGTCCACTCCCCAGTCCACAGATTCAAGAGCAATGCACTTTGTACTAGTCAGCGCTCAATAAAAACGTTTTGTTCAAACTGGATCTTACACCTTATTAGAGTTGGATGCAACCCAATGGAAAGTAAGATCAGCTGTAAATGATTACATTTATTGAACTGACAAGTTGTAATGCATTGTGTGTTTGTAGCTGTTCTCAGTTCCAGATGTTTGGTCTGGGACTAGCAAAATCAACTAACCAAGTATTGGACAGAAACAGGCTTACTTATTAAAACGTCTGAAGAAAAAAAATGTTAGGTATAGAATCCAAAACATTTCCTGGTGCAGTATGAAATGCGCAAATGGACTGGTTGTTCAGATGCAATGATAAAGTTATGCACTGCTGATAATAATATAAGGGGACACAGATATTCTTCTATAATCAGATATTGTAGATCATTCCAGGAACCTTAAAAATGGGCATATTTATTTCAAATGGAACAGATGACATCACTGAACAATAAAACACCGTCTTTACAACACTTTCCCTTCGGAAACTTCAGTGTACTGACATTTATGTTGTCCGCAGTGTTTTTATTGAGTGCTTTTTAACACAATTGTACATCAGCTGCTCAATATTCTGCTCAAATATTTTACAAGCAATCTTAAATACCCAGTTTGTTCATTCAGAGTGGGGGAACACAGTCTAGTTATACACAGTGATTCTTACTTTCAAATGTTATATATAAAACTTTGTTCCCTGGAGCATGCACCCACCTTGAAAGACTAAAGTACAAAAAAATCAAATATAAAACAAGGGGAAAAAAAATCTAACACTAACAAACGTCAGTAGGAGGCAACAAAAATTAAATTATAACCCCCCGTTGCCCTAAAAAAAACAAACCAAAAACACAAATATTGATACAAGGCTTCCAAACAAACCTCTATACTATCACATAGTCAACAATTCTTACACAGAAACTAAAAATCCCAAATATATCTTGGGGGAGTTCAAGTTAACAAAAAGTCTTAATAAAAAGGGACATACAGTATTTTGTCACAAGGTGTAAAAAAAAAGAAAAAAAGAGAAAAAAAAAGCCAAAAAAGCGCTATTGATGCACTTAGTGAATGTGCTTGCTCAGGTCCACTGCAACAAATCCTATGTAGCATATCTCTTGGTCCACTGTCTGGCCATTCTGTCATGCTCTGCTCTGTTGGTCGTGTACTGGGTGGCGATGCTTCCGACAAGAGGGTCAGCTAGAAGAGAAACAAAACAAATATTTAGCACTTCATATACATATATATAACTGAATATGCCGGTTGAATGCATGCAAAAGCAACAAATTACTGATACTGTTATAACTATACCTCCATATTTAAAGTGCACCCTGACAATAAAATGATCTTATTTAATTCCTTGCCTCTTATGCACTGAAGTCTCAAGCAATGTTACCAGTCCGGCGCCATTCACCTCTGTAAACTAAAAAACACCTTCTTCTGATGTTATGGGGATGAGGAGGGGGTGTTGTTGTTAAAAGTGTCTTGTTCACTTCTGCTGACATTCTGATTTTCTATAAATGCCAAGAAAATGAAAATCAAACTTTTGCGGTTTGTAGACTTGGCAACAGTAGTGGATTTGTAAACAGAATACTGCAGAAACAACTGCTCATGTAGCTGGCACACTGCCTCTCCCGGAAGTCTGCAGCAAACTTCAGGTGACATTTCAGGTAGCCCATTGCATAGAATAGAGTGCTCCCAAGCCGTGTCCTCACATTTACTGCACTGAGATACTTATTACAATATTGGGGTTCATCCCAACCTTGACCTTACATTAAAGGCACAGCTAGATGCTAATTGTGAAAGCTTTTAGCAAGTGCACTGGAATACATCAATATCTATAGAACAGAAGAACTGTAATAATGTTTTCTACGATTATTGCACTGTTTATAGTTTTATTATAACCTGCTTCACTATATATACTAAATACAAATAATCCCACTGAAAGGAATGCTTAAATCAAAATCAGGTAATCAGTGTTCATGTTCCTGCAGCAGTAAACCAGTAGATAACACAATTGGTCAAAGCTGTGTCCTCAGACCTGTCACTTCACAAAGGAGGATACACTTGTAGGCTGTTGTTCTCTGATGGAAAGGGACCATCCTGGTACAGACAATGTAAACAGGAAAGCTTTTCTGTGCCTGTTGCCATCCTTATCAATGTCAATTGAAAGGACGTGGGGGCAAATCTGCTATCTTGTCTAGGGACCCTTTCTGCTTTATTCTGTATCTGGAATTGACCAGATAGCTAGTATTTTTTTTTCATTTTCACTGACTGGTATGTGTGGGTAGAATAGACATGTTCTAGAATCTATGTTGCTACTTTATGAAAAGACAATTGTTATATGTAATACTTTTCCAAAATTCCAAGGTGAAAGATAAAATAATCCAAGATGAAAATAATGGAAGGCTTTCGCTGAAGAAATAACTTGGCATCAAAGAGGGAAACTGCCAACTTTCAAATTGTAATTCTTTGGGTTTTTTTTTCCTTGTACACTGCATTCATGTACTTATAGAAATGATCTGCTTCACAGTCAAATGCAGTCAATTACTTTTCATGGCACTGTAAATATCATATTCATTATGGCTAATACTGTAGTTAATGATCTTCTCTATTGTGCATATGTGGAAAAAGGCACATACTAATAAATATACTAAATAAAAACAAAGTAACAGGTTACAATTGTAGAACATAGAAAGAAAACCTCACTCAAATGAACAGATGGGAATATTTAAAGATATATCAGATACTTAAATATACATGTAAAAACAATATTAAAAAGGTGATGAAAATCTTATTAATTTTTTATTTCTATAATATACTGTGTGTGTATATACATATATATATATATATATAACATTTATTTTTTTACACATTTTGAGTTATTTATTTGTTCATTACATATGCAGGTGCTGCTTCCTGTTTTGCAGTGCTGTTCTACTGCTCCTTCTCATAATGCCCATCTATAAGTTAACCACTTATTAAAAGCAATGCACTTCCAGTGTGGTTCATTTTTTATTTTAGGGATTGTGAGGCAGTTAGCGTAATTTTATAGTTTATCAACCCTACCCTACCTAGTGGATAATCTACAAGTATCTACATTTAATAGCGTTACTCTCCCCCCCATTGCAGTGCTCATTGGTAAGGCCCAATCCCCAGGCCCAAGCACTATGTTGGAAGGTGTGCAAAGCCCTATGCAAATACTGACTGTCTGAAAATCTTAATCACTTTGGAAAAAAAGACGTCTTCCATAAAACATCTCTCTGACATTGGCTAGCTGGAACATAGGACAAGTTTTAATCAATACTTTTTTATTCAAAGGATAATTTATTAGATCATGATGATAAAATACTTACAGCTTTATTACTACTCATATTCATTAATTACAATAACCTATTAAATGTCATTGATGAAAAAGGAAAAAGGGCATGATGGGCTTAGCCATAAAATATCTGACTTGAACATTTAAATCATTCATAATCATAGTGTTCTGTAGCCAATTCATAATCTGGCCCAGTAGAATAGACACAAGCCACATATTAACTTATTTAATGCTGCCCTGTAGGGTGTCCCCTGAGGACAAACAGATTAAACACTGTAAGGCTAGGTCAGAGGTATCAATCTTCAGATCAATACCATCATCATTTTACATCTATTTTATTGCCGAACAGCAGTTATTTACATGCATAATGCAAGCTGCAGAATGTGGATACAGCAGAGAACATGCAAATTCTGTCATACACTGAGAGCTAGAGACAAAATATTCAGCCATACAGACTATAGTCTGGACAGGCATCGATTAAAGCTGAACTCAGCACAAAAACTTTTATGTAAATATATTCCTAAGTAGCCACAAAGGACATACATCCACTATTTGTAAAACAATGCCTTTGCAAACCCAGATCTAATCTAGTAACATTAGTGGTGGCATCATCACTGTGCTCCACATAGACTGTGCATACAGCAGAGCTGTGAGAGGGACCCAATAGGTCCTCCCACTACAGACATCCTGCAGAAAACTACTAGAGAAGGGTGATCACAAGACCAGCCACCCAGCAGAAGGAGAGAAAGCAAAAGTGACTGGTCCTAATAGAGGAAGCTATTGCACAGAGCTTCCCAAGTTTCACATTGGATAACTGCACAGATCTGAGAACATACACAAAGCACACCAATATTCAATAAAGAATTTACATTCCTCTTGTATTTGGACAATATTTCCTTATCCTGGAGTTCAGCTATAACAATACTGGAACTTGTAGACAGTTTTTGATAAGTTACATCACATCCAGGTACTGCATTTCACAAAAAAACATTCATTGCATCTGTTTCTTATAGCAGAATTCTAATATGTTAGTATTACTAATTAAATCGTGCATACTGAAGATGGAAGTAACAGCAAAATGTAAGAATGCAATCAATGTTGTAAAATGGAAGCACTTCCATCTTCATGACAAAAGTGTTATTTGAAGGGAAGGAAATAAGAAACAGAGAATTTGTAAACAGTATTCATTGCTTTTTCAATTTTGTTGGTAAAGAGTTAATTGGTAGCCATAGTAGATATTTACTACATTTATCACTGATTTATATTACGCCAGCATATGCACAGCAGAAAGTAATGCCAGATTTCTTCAAAGGTCTAGGAATTTTTTTTTTTCAATACTACAAAACAACATATTCTGAATATAAGGAGTGCATGCATGTATAAAAGGAGCAGATGGACAGTATGAGTAAGCATACTATATGGCTAAACATCTGTGGACACCTAATCATCACGCTTACAAAATGTCCAAAAGTATGTAGACAACTCTCCAAATTATTGAGTTCAGGTTGTTTGCCAATAAGGATACTGTTGATGCTACTAAATAAAGATATTTTAGACAACTGTGTACTTCCAACCTTATGGCAACCCTTTTCTGTTCCAGCATGACCAGGCCCTTGTCTGTTCCAGTATGGTTGTGCCCCTGTGCACAAAACCAGGTCCAAACAGACATTGTTTGATGAGTTTGATGTAGAGGACACAGAGCCCCAACTTTTACCTAATGAACACCTTTGTGATGAACTGAAATGCCAACTGCAAGACCGGTCCCCTCATTCAAAATCAGTACCATACCTCACAAAAGCTTTCGTGCAGTTGAATGGTCACAATTTCCCAAAGAAACACTCCAAAATCTTGATAAAATACTTCCCAGAAGAGAGGAAGCTGATATAGCCAGAAAGGGGGAGAGGAGCTCTTGATTTTGGAATGGAATGTCCTACAAGCCTATATAGGTGTGATGGACACTTTTGACCATATACTGTACTTTGGATCCATTTATCCTAATGACAAGACACTAAAAGAAGAATCCCAGTCTGAACAACCAATAAAACAGAAAACCTATATCAAATCTGGTTATATGTTTTGTATTTATTTTTCATTTTGACCTGCAGCAATTTAAAAAACATTTCCCAACAGATGTTGAAAGATTTGTAAACCGCATCTGGCATTTAGATGTGGGCTGGCCCATTGCCCCATTGTTGGCCAGAACCTGTGCCAAGTGTTTCCTCAGTAGGAGGTCATCTCTAGATGACCCACAATGAGGATACCTTGGCAGGATAGCATGGCTAGAACAAGGTTCAGAACCTTGGTAAACACTTGAGGTGCAGAAGGAAGGCTGAATGGCAGGGCCAGAAACTGGAAGTGGTGGGGACCCACAGCAAAGTAATGGAATCGCTGATGCTGAGTGCTGGACAAATGGGGACATACAAGTAAGCATCCTTGATGTCCACAGAGACTAGGAAGACGGGAAGCTATGAAAGACCTGCTGGATTTTATGTGGAATATTTGAACCTGAAGAATAACATTAAGGGCCTTGAGATACAAAATGGGGTGGATGCTCCCTTTTGGTTTGGGGATTGTGAAAAGGTTGGAGTAAAACTGCTGAAACCTTACCACAGTAGGAACTCAGGTGATAACCCCTTGATTCAGAAGACCTGCAAGAGCTTCATGGAGACCTACTAATCTGTGTGGAGACACAGGTAAGTTGGAGACATGAAGGCTTGTGGTTGAACTGGGCACCCGGCTCGGCCTAAGCGGTTTAGGCCTGGGACAATGAAAGGAACTTTCTTGACCTGAGAAGGGGGAGGGGGGTGAGTCTTTCCTGCTTAGGCTATTTCTTCTGGGGCAGGACTGCTTCCGTGGGTCTAGAAGCTAACATTTTGTG